GCACCAAATGAATGCCCACAATGCATGAAATGAATGAGGGAAGATTGTGGGAGGGAAAAAAATCATCATTCCAACACATAAATGAGAAAAGCCACTTGCTCCAAGGTTATGGCCCTGGCAGGATTCAAATCAGGGCAGGTTTGGCAGATGGTAAAGTGAGATATCTCAGGGTGCTTCACCAGGTAAACGTGATTAGTCGGGTTCAATGCCTCCATGCCTAGAGGCCAGACTCATGGCCGGCCAAGGAGGCCTCAAATGATCCCTATGTGCCAAGTATTCAAAAAAACCCAAGTGGGTTATCTAGAAAATTGAAGAACTGTGTGGCTGATAGCAGATGACCTCCCCAGTCAGCTTTCAAGAGTCAAAGCCCTGAGCTACTTCCCAGGATATAGTATAGGAAACCCAGGTTCAAGTTCCAGGCCTGTCTCAGTCTGTTTTTTTGTTTGTTTTTTGTTTCTTTTGTATGTATGGTTCTGAAGATCAAACTCCAGGCCTTGAATTGAGCACTTTACCACTGATCTATACCCCTAGCCTTCTGTATCAATTAAAAAGGCAAAGAACCGCAGCACACTTTGAGTTTTTAGTATTAAGAAACAAAACAAAACCCACCAGCTGAGCATGGTAGCACACACCTTTAATCCCAGCACTCAGAGGCAGAGGCAGGTAGATCTCTGAGTTTGAGGTCAGCCTGGTCTAGAAAGTAAGTCCAGGATAGCCAAGGCTGTTACATGAAGAAACCCCATCTCAAAAAGGCAAAACCAAAATCAAATCCAGGCCCAGAACAACAACAAAACAAAAAACAAACAAACTTAGAGGTGGGTTAATACTTTGGATCCCAGAGACTTAGGTCTTTGCAACACCTTTCTTTCTTTCTCTTTCTTTTTCTGGAGCAGGAGACTGAACCCAGGACCTGTGCTTGCTAGGGGAGCCTCTACCACTGGGGTAAATAAAACACGACCTCAGGACCTCTTTATGTTCTCCAATACCTCTCTCCATTTACATGAGGGATAATGGCATGTTTTTACGTTGCTAAGAGGCTGAAATAATGGATTCACAGAGAGGGCTGGGAACTATGACTAGTGCTTAGCTATTAACTGCTGCTAGCAGGGTGTGGCTGTGTTGATGGCCCCACCTGGGGTCTGTTCACGGTCAATGCTTTGTAGAAGCAGGACAAGTCAATCAGGGGAGTAGGGTCCTCCATGGGCTTCTGGGGTGTTCTCCTGGTGTTCCTGTGGTCCTGCATGAGGCTGGGCCCCAAACACAGAAGTTAGGGACAGATTAAATCCAGTGCTTAGGTTTTCATCCTCCCTTGTCCCCAGATGAGCAAGGGTTGACATAGTTAGAGGATGCCATGGAGAACCTGTATGGTACACCAAGTCCTCCCTTCCCTGACATCCTTTGTCTTTTACTTTCCTCCATCCAGTAACCTGGATGTATTGCTGGTATATTTATTATTGCCAATGCCAAGCACAGGGGAGACCCGAGTATTGGTTAGTGAATGAGTGGATATGACAGGGGTCTGGTCAGTGACCTGGTGTCTGTGCGGGATAGGGATATAGCGAAGGATTCTAGATTCTAATCATAATGGAGCAGGGGGAGGGCATGTGAGAACACAGAGGTGCAGCAGAGGCAGAAGAGTCCTGGGAACAAGCTACTGGCCGGAGAACATGTGAAGGCAGAGGACCTTGACAGAGCTCTGGATAGCCCCCAGCTGATCTACCATCTGAATTGTATCTGGGCCTCAGGCCAATTGAGAAGTGCCTGTAGGCTACCAACAACCAACCCCAGAATATGATGTACCGTCCTCCCAAGAAAGCACAAAGCCCCACAGGGGGCAGGGGCAGGAACCACAAGACGTCCTCTCATTCCTCCTCTGAGGTCACCCCACCTCTTTCCCCTTGTGTCTGCCATGCCCAGCAATTCTGTAGTTCCCACAGTCCTAAGGGAGGTAGCACCAGCCAATTCTGAACTGTCCTGTCAAGCCCCAGGAAGCCTAGATGCCTTGACTACCAGGCTTCTAGCAGACCTGGGGTCATCTCTGAGGGCTAGGGGTTTCACAGGTCAGAGCTGAACTCTCAGAGTGGCAAACTCATTCCTCAACTCCAGTAGTCTTCCCAACAGCAAGTAAGTGGTGGCAGCAGTGGGGGTGGCTTCAGGATTTGGGGTTAATCCCAAGCACGAGGCCAGTCAGGAAAGGATTTGATTTCATTCCTTCAGATGCCCAAGCCCTGGCCAGAGCCCCAGGGAGCAGGAGTGAAGGCCACTGCTGCCTAGCCCCTACCAACAAAGCCTTCCTTTATTAAATAGAGGTCGTGTTACATTCCACTTGAAGGAAATAGGGGCGTGGTAAGGGATATGTCCAGGTTGGATCCCCCAAGCCCAGTTCCCAAGTGGGCTGTGATGGGTACAGCAGGGTCCAGGTCCTGCATGGCCTGCCCACTCCATCCAGCCCAATCACAGGGCCCCTGCCGTCTGGATGGCTGCCCAGGATACATCCTGAGGCTTCCCTGGTGGCACAGACCTCTGTAATTTTAGGAACCGGGCCTCCTGGAGATAGGGTTGAAGTGGGGAGGGAGGGCCAGGGAGAGGGAGGCCTCTATGTAGAGGAATGAAAGAAGGGTCTTGAACTCATCTTTAGAGCACTTTGGGGCAATTATCCCTCCACCTTGTTCAGACTGGAGACACCTGCCTTACCACTGGGGCAGTCTAATGAGGCCACTTGGGAACAGAGTGAGAGTTGGCCACAAGGGGGTGCCAGTGATCCAGGACTTAGAAGCTATGGGGGAGATCCAGCCTCCTAGAACAGCGTTGGTAAGCATCAGGGACTTGTGGAGGGGCCTGCTCAAGTGTCCCCTCCCTGAGGCTTAGCCTCTCCTCAGTATGGCTCCAAGCTCCTTGGTCTTTGGTGCTTTCTTGAGATCCTCTTGGTGGCTACAGAGCCCAGTGTGCAAGAGGGTCATCTCATGAAGTCCAAGCCAGGCTGTCCTTCTGTCTGTCCCAGGTGGGATGGATGGTATTAACTCAGTACTGTCTCTACAGCCTGGCTGTTTCTCTGTCCTTCATCTTCTGGCTCAGAGTTGGCTCCAGGATTTCTTGTCTGTCTGTCCCAAGGCAGATGTTTGCTCTAGCTCAGAGCCTACTTCAGGCCTGGGGCCATGCCCTAGGCCTCCTGGGGGAAGAAGCCAAGCTTGGCTAGTGACATCCCCTTCCGCAGCCTCATTATTTCCCAGAACATTGGCTCAGCTGCAGACAGAGAGGACAGTTCATGGTCACTTTAGGCAACTACCCTGGCCTTCTCTGGTTTGGGGCAGAGCTCTGGGAACCTCCTCATCCTGGTCAGACATGCATGCACTCTCTGCCATACAGTTGTTTTCATAACAGGCTTAGAACTCCATATCTCTGGTTGCAAATGTTCCCCCACCTTGACCCATAGCAGTGAGCAGGGCCCAGAGCATCAGTCCCTGTGTCTGGAGAAGGACCCTTTAAGCAAGGACTCAGGAGGCAGGGAAGCCATGCTCTGGTGGACATGAAAAAGTAGGCAAGGGTCACAGGAGAGAGACACGTCATCAAGAACCTTGAATGTCACAGCTAGTAACAGGAATGCTGTCTTTGTTGGACCAAAAGATTTCAAGGCAGAGCCGGGTGCAGTGGTGCACACTTGTAATCTCAGCACTCTGGGAGACAGAGGCAGGAGGATCACTGTGAGTTTGAGGCCAACCTAGTCTACAAAGTTAGTCCAGGACAGCGAAGACTACACAGAGAAACCCTGTCTCGAAACAAAGAAAGAAAGAAAAAAAAACAAAGATTTCAAGGCAGAAGAAAAAGCAGCATGACCCAGATATGTGGAAGGCACCAGGTCTGCTGCCCCAGTGAGGCAGAACCCAGCACCAAGGAGGATCTGGGACAGTTTATTAACCTGCAATGCTCCCTTTTGCTAGACTTCTACTGGAGAGACTCTAGGCGCTTGGCCTGTGCTGACGCTGACAGGTAGACTTTCTCCCTCCCTTGGTCACCATCCCTGAAAAGGCCACTAGGGGGCACTCACCATCCTGCCGAACCAGGCCTTGCTGGATGTAGCGAATGTAGGTGAAGAAGTTGCATACTGCAGTGATCTGTGGGCAGAATGGAGAGGGTGGGACCCACAGATTCCCCATACTCTAGGGTCCCCTCCAAAAGCCAGTGTGGACCCTACCCCAGTAAGCAGAACCAGGGGTTGCTCTCTGACTCTGCTAGAATGGGGCTTCCAAGGTGTAATTAACAGTAGCAAGATTGCCCCAGCTGCTAAGAATAACTGCTGCTACTGCCTGGAAGCTGTGAAGCAGGTGAGACACAGATACACCATGCCCACTTTACCAGTGATAAGGACTGTCAGCTGTGGAGTTAGGAAGCGGCCAAGCTGACAGATGAAATCAGGCAGCCTGTACCAGCAGCTAATCTCAGTCCTCTCTGGACCTGCTCCGCCGGTGCTAGGAGGTCTGTCTGGGTCCACCAGACAAAAACTAGGTGTCTTGTGTAATTGCAGGAATTAGAATCGCTTTCCTGAGCTGCCTTGGTCCCTAAGCTTGAAGACCAAGGATAGCTAGAGAGGCCTGTTCTCTGCCAAGCTCTGGTGATCCTTCATTGGTGCAGGCACAACCCCAAAGACTCTTATAGAGAGGAGGCTCTGTTGGTATCCTGCCTAGAGGCCCAGAGGCCTAGGCCTTGCCCCATCTCCCAAGCTTTTGCGAGTTTAGGCTACACTGAGCCCACAGTGCCCATTTTGTGGTGGGAACACAGGCTAGCTCTTTGGCTGAAACAGGGACATCTCTGTGCTCAGAACTCTCTCCAGATCTAGCCAAAGCTAAGCCCAGTCTTGGTTTGCCTCCTCTCCCTGACCTAATCCTGCTTCTTGCTCCATTGAGACATTCCAGCAATGTCCGTGTAGGCTCTGTATCTAGAGAAGGAGCCAAGATGAGAGGAGGCAGCTGGGGGTTCTTGAGCAGGGAAGCCCTATGTGTAAGACACCCAGAGACTGGTGAGTGAGAGAGACTCTAGGGAACAGAACTTGCCAGGAGGCCAGAGAAGGTGCAGGGAGCTGGAATTGTGGGGAAGGCTGCCAAAGGCGGGGTGGTATGAAAAAGCACAGAACATCAGCCATGTATGGCTGAGCCTGGTACTAGGAAGGGGAAACAAGACTAGGGCGTGGGAGAGAGGGTTGGCACAACTCAGATGCCTGGGGACCACAAGGGGCTCCTGAGCATGGAGTGGCAGAGTGGTAGAGTTTCTCCCCAAAGGCTGTGTCCATCAGTCTCTCTGACCAAGGATCACATACCATACCATCAGACCCTCCTCAGCTCTGGTCTCTTCCACTACACAGCTTTTCCCAGCAGAACCAGACATCAAGGTCACAAATAAAAGTAAGTCCCACATATAATTTTGCAAGGCACAAGGATGGCCAGCATGGACCCTCCTGTTGCCCAGTGGGTTGGGCTAGAAAGGGATAAAGGGGACTCGAGGCCACACAACGAGGCTCTGGGCAGCCTGTAGATTCAAAGTAGGAACCACAAACAATTCAGTCCAAAGACTTCACATCTAAGCTGCATGGCCCTGGAGTACACTTCAGCCTTGATTTTAAAGGCCATGTGGTGCCCCTGGCCTACAAGGACCATCAAGGACCTCAGTCCTGAAAACACTTGGAATTCTACCAACAGCTGCAGGTGCTTGGAAAGGGCCCTGAACTTAGAAAGGAATCCAGCAGAGCTGAGCTCTAATTGCAGGCTGGTGGGTCCCTGAGCTGAGCTTGCATGGTGAGTCAGTGTCCAAGGTTCTGGCCCCAGAAAAAGGCAAGATGCTGCGAGTGTATGAATGCATGATATAGTGGTTCACGCCTTTAGCCCCAGCACTCAGGGGGCAGACGCAGGCAGATTCTCTGAACTCAAGCCTGGTCTCTATAGCTAGTTTTAGAACAGTCAGGACTACATAAGACCCTGACTTTTTAAAAAAAAAAAAAAAGTGTATTACCTTTTGGATGGGGATGTATCTCAACTGGTAGACTGCTTGCCTACCATGCACAAAGCTCTGGGTTCAGTCTCTAGCATGGTAACAAAACTAGGCATGGTGGAGCATGCCTATAATTCTAGCACTTGGGAAATAGAGTCAAGAGGTTCAAGGTTATCTTTAGTTGCACTACAAATGGGTTGTGAGAGACACTGAAAAAAAAAAAAACCCAGCATATTATCCGTATACTTATGGTCATCTGTCACATAACCAAGAAGATAACAAGACGCTTGGCCTGGCTATGGTCTGGGACAGTCTCTGCACCTCTGAGAGTTGTCTAGGCCGTGCTTCCTGGCCAGAGGTGAAGAGTTCAGCCCCTCTGGTCCCAAAGAAACCAGCTGACATGTGTGAAGGAAGACTTACCCTGGCCCGGGATGATGGTGAGATGTAATAGTGACTCTTAGAGTCCCCGAGGCGGATCCGATGGTGGCAGGTACGGGACAGTCCACTCAGGGCACACGTGCTGGAGGAAACAGAGGAAGTATAAGGGCTGAATGACGCTCAGAGGCATGAACATGTGCTAGCTAGAGGATGCTCGGAGAGTGAGCATAGCAGCCAGGCAGGAAGTAGGGCGTGGCCTCCTCTTCCCTCCCAGCTTCCCCAAGAGCCCTGGGCCAAACAAAGATGTGGGATAAGGCAAGTGTCCTCAGGATAGACCTTAAGTACAACCCCAGACCCTGCTCCTTTCTCCACATAGGCAGGGGAGCTTGGACAACCCCACCCCAGGTATACCAAGGCCACACCCTCTGCAGCCTCTAAAACCGCACACACACCATCATCCCATCTACCCCTATTACTTGGGACTTTATGGAGGATCACCTCTTTCCCTAACTGAACTCTGGTCTGACTCCCACAGCCCCACAGGTTTTTTTCATCCTCTGCCCACCAGGCCTCACTAAAAATCCCCTTGCGTGTCACCTTTCTCCTCAGCCAGGCCTGGGAAACCCACTTAGCACCTTCAGCTACATGCACATTAGGTGGCAGTTGTCCTGAGAGCTCATCCTCCAGACTTCCCCTCCCAAATCTTGTTCCTCCACTAGTCCCTGCCTCCATGACAAACTCTACTGGGCTCCTTCCCCGACATCTGTATCTGGTCACCATGTCCCCAGCCTACATCATCCCTGTTACCTAGATTCCCTCAGTGCTTTCCAACCACTCTCCCTTTCTCTTACCCTTTCTTCTCAGTGTTACAGCCAGGAGCTTCTCCAAAGGCCATACAGAACCCACCATCTTTCCCCATGGCTTCCATATTGCCCAGGAAATAATTACAGAATGCCAGGTAAAAAGACGGTGTTACCTTTTCCTTCACTGTGAAGTTGAATGGGCCTCCCTCTCTTTTAAGGGAGCATCTGCTGATGACCCCCAATAAACCAGCCTAGTAAGTTGCAGAGGCTCTTTATACTCTAGCTCCCCACCACCACCACCACCACCACCACCACCACCACCACACACACACACACACACACACACACACACACACACTCAGTCCCAGCTCCCAGCTCCATGGCTATGGCCTGTTCTGAGGTATTTCACACTCTAGCTTCCCTGACCTTCATTCATTCTGTTCCCTCTGCCTGTAAAGCTGGCTCAGATGTTCCTTCTGTGTGGCCAGGCTTCCCTTGTGGAACCAGCCAGCCAGCTATGGAACCCCACCTAGCCAGCTCTGGAATGTCAATGGGGAAAACCTGCCTGTTCCTCAGTCCACCTTGACTGCTAAGCTCTGCTGCTACCCCTGCTCAGTGCTGGCTGAGCAGCATGCAAGATAAGATGCCAAGGCTGTTAGTAACATATTGGCAGGACATAGAGCCAGCCACTAGCAATCACTTATATGCCAATCGGAGCCCAATATCTCCATGGGGCAGAAGAGGAGGGGAAGGGAGCAATGATGACTCCAGCCAGAAAAGACACTGGCATCAGGAATCTTTGTCAAAGATACTTCCTGGTCCTAAATCAGGACAGTGGTGATGATTCCTCTCTTGCAGTTTTTTTCTTTGTTTGTTTGTTTGTTTGTTTGTTTTAAGTAGGGTTTTATGTAGCCCAGGCTTGTCTTGAACTTACTCTGTAGCCAAGAGTGATCTTCCTGCCTCTACCTCCCAAGTGCTGGGATCATAGGTGTATCCCACCACACTTGGTTTTACATGGTGCTGGGGACAGATCCCATGGCTTTGTGCATGATGGTCAATGCTTTTACTAAGCTATATCCCCAGTCCCATGTCCATCTCTTGGGAGTCCTAGGCTAGGTCATGAACCCTGGGAAACAGTCACCCTGAATGTTACAGTCCCTATCCACCCTGAGGCTCTATATCCCATCTAGGAGCTCCAAGACTCAGGCTCATGTCCCAGTTCCCTAGGGTGCTCCCTGAGGCTCCATGTTGGACCTTCCCATGGGGGCAGGAGGGGGTCCAGGATGCCAGCTTACTTGGTGTTGTTACAGTCAACAGTGGGGACCTTCACAGTGGGCAGAGTCTGTGAAGCCACAGGCTCGATGGTGAGCGTGTTGTCCTCCACAGCAGCCCGCACCAGAGATGAGAGCTGTAGCACATCAAGGTAGAGCAGTGAGACGCTGGGTGACTGGAACCAACGGGCTGGGTCCCCAGCTGGCCACCCTTGGCCCACCTCACCTCCTGCACTGTAAAGTCGAGGCAGGGGCCCACATCCTCCCGGTATACCCTTTCCAGGAAGGGGCAGTTCTTATCCAGGGTAGGTGACGCCCTCCAAGCCTGGAACTCTGCAAACAGGGTTGTATCCACCTGCAAGAAAGAGTTGCCAAGTAAGGGCAGTCAAGGATGAGGGTAAGTACCTCAGTGAAGGCAGAGCTGGCAGAGAGGAGAGCAGGAAGATGCAGGGTCGGGGCTCAGTGGGCTGTCAGGCCTGTCCTCAGCAGCCATGCAGGGGAGCAGAGTCCAGGGGAAGAGGAGGTCCTGTTTGCCCTTTGCACCAAAGAATTTGGAACAACACAGTTTGTATCTGGGTGTACATTAAGTTTCTTGGCACTGCAAAATTACAGACTTGGATCCAGGGCCTTGGCCTGAATGCTGCTACTGACTCCTTTTGGAAGAACCACCAAGAACAGGACCCACAGGTCTACACATAGAGGTACATGCATGGAGGAGAGAACATTTCACAGGTTTCCCTGCTGACCACTGGAGGAGGCAACAATGACCTCCCCTGGGCTGCATGCAGTGAGTGAAGCCCAGAGGAGGGATGTGGGGCGGCCCCGAAGGGAGCCATTACCTGTCGGGAAAAGGAGAGAGAGGTATCGGAGTTGGGGGTCGTGGGCGGCTCCCCAGATGGGAGCTGCCAGGTCGGCTCGTAGGTGAGGTGGATGGCCTTGCTGGGGATCACGCACAGGAGCAAGGAGAGTAGAGGGGGTAGCCCAGGCTGGGCCAGGGGAATGGGTGGACGGATGGACAGACAGACATACAGAGACAGACAGGAGGAAGGAGGAGATGTCAGTGTCCAATGGGAAGCTCAGTATTCAGAAGGGGACCCAGAGGGCTTTGTTTGCACATCTTCCCTAAAAGCTTAGGAGACAGATGAAGAGAGTTCTGAGCTAAGATAGGCTTGAGCAAGAACCTCAGGAAGCTGAATCTCACCCCACGTCTCCCTGGTGTTCATCCAAAACAGCCTAAACTGGCTTTTTAGTATCCCCACAGTTCTGCCCTCCCCCCCCCCCCCCGAGGGAGGCAGGGAATGTGGCGTGTGAGGTAACAGAAGTACTAACAGCTACCTAACAGCCTGTGGTCATGTCAGTCCAGTCTGGCCAAGCCTCCTTCCCTCTTTTCCCTGCTGAGGCAGGAGAGAGACATTTTCTAATGTCTACTTGCCTCAGTACCACTGCTCAGACCATAGAATATGTGTCATAGTGTAGTCTTAGACCTCAAGACTGTAGTCACAAACATCAGGTATCCCCCCCTCTAGAAGTCCAGTGGCATCTGTCTCCTTCCCCCCACCCCCACCCCAACAGGGTTTTTCTGTATAGCCATGGCTGTCTTGGACTCTCTTTGTAGACCAGGCTGGCCTTGAACTCACAAAGATACATCTACCTCTGCCTCCTGAGTGCTGGGATTAAAGGCTCTGTCCGTCACTCTTACCACAAGAAATATATCTCTGAAGAGGCTTCCTGAGAGAGGACCTTCAGGTCCTAAGAGTCTGCTTGGAATAAAAAAAGCCTGCCCAGCCTTCACAGTTCAAGGGACCCTGAAGCCCAGAGAGGAGAAAGATGAGTAGGCTCCCACAGGAGGGGTCAGGATGGCTCTTCCGGGATGCTGACTTGGCTGGTTAAGCATGCTCACCCCTCCCCATTGTGAGCTCACTATGGCCTGTGCCTCACCTCCTTGCCTTCTTTGTCTGGGGTGGGGATACGCCCTGCAGTGGGGCACACAACAGGGCAGAGGGAACTGCTGGTGCTCTTATGGCGTGAGTGGCCCTTTCGGGGTCCGGCCTTGGTGGGACTCAGCAGCTGTGGGTGGAGCTCACGGTTGGGAGAGGCTGGTGTGGATGTGATGACCAGTGTCTTCAAGGCTGTCACCTCTGCCTGGAGCATGTCGATCTGGCCCAGACAAGATGACCGTCAACCCCAACGTGGGGTTAATGTCACCATGGCTACCATGGCCTGGCAGCCAAGTATCCCCAGCAGTATCTAGCCCATCCCCTCACCCTTGGAACAACCTCTAAGACTTCTATTCTTTAGACAGGGAAACCAAGGCTGAGAGGAGATATGGCCTGCCTCCGGTTGAGGTGTGAGACTCTGCTGGAGGCAGGCATCTGGGAACTTCCTGGAGTTCCTACTAGGGAGTGTTTGGAGATTCCCCAGAAGCCAAGAACAGCCCAGCTTCACTTTTACTGATTGGTAAGCGCTCTAAGCAAGGAAGCTGCTTGCCTTTGTTCTACAGCCATGGCCCATGTTCTGCCTTGGAGGCAGGACGACACCCAGGGTCCTCTTGCACTCTACAGGGTCCTAGAAAAATTTCCAGCAGGAGCACTGATGGAGTCCGGTGCCCTGGGCTACTTAATTTCAGACCCTCCCTGCGTGTCCCAGATCTGTGTCCTTCTGTTCCTGATGTCTGGTTGGTCTGTGAGCGACCTGTTGCATGCCCTTGCTAGCTGAGGGCAGTACTCTCCAGCAAGGACTGTGACAAAAAACCTTGGGCTGGCTTAGGCACACAGGGATGGGTCTCACCTTGCCCCAAGCCTCCTTCAACTGCTTTTCTGATGCTGCCTGCTTCATGTTGGCTTCCCGGACCATCTTGTGGGCTTCCTAGAAGGCGGGGCAGCTCTGCATGAGTGGTTACAAGATACTGCACACCTGGGCCACCCACTCCCAGGCTGCCCAGCGCACCTCAAACAGGCTGGCTGTCAGCTCCTCCAGCTCCTGCTCCAGCTGTGCACGAACCTTGCAAAGCCGTTCACACTCCTCATCCTTCAGCTTCAGCTCCTGGGTGCAGACAGGAGGCTGTCTGTCATTCCACCCTAACCAGGCTCCATTTCCCCAGCCACTGCTGTGAGGCTCCAAGCCACCAGCTCGCTTCACCAGGTGTCTGACATTTTGTGGTACGTTAGCCCCAACGCACAAGATTAAAACCCTAGCCTGGTAGCCCATCAGAGCTGGAGGCAGATTTCTGGCTAAGTCAAGATATGTGAAAATCATTTTAGACTTCTGAGGCTTCAGTGGTGGAGTGCATGCCTAGCATGCTTGAAGCCCCAGGGTAAGCCCCTCTTCCTTTGAGTTCCCAGGGCTCCAGCCTGGGCCTGGCATGCAACCTTGCCAAGTGATGACCCCTCTTCCTTCCTTCCACAGATATCTGGGCTCAACTAAGTCTGGTTGCTCTTCCTCAGCCCCCAACCCTACCCTGGAGTACCTACCTTCTGGGCTTTGTATAGCTCTTCCTTCAGGAACTCTGAGCCTTTCTCTCGGATCTCCATGGAAGAGCTGCGCAGGCGTGACACGTCCAGTGGGGCGGCTGCCGAGTGTCCCTCACCCTGGGTCTCCTCCCGGGAAGCAGAGGCTTCTACCAGGCCTCCAGGGGGCTCCCTGTTACCTTTGCCAGGGTCCAGGTTTTTCCAGGGGACTGAAACAGCAGAGAGGCCCACAGGGAGGCCCTCGTCTTGTTGGGGTGGGCTGCAAGGCAAACAAGGGCATCAGCACACACAGGCTGGGGCCTCAGGACCTGCAGAACTGAGCCCAGGTACCGACCCTGGGCCACATACCTGTCACACGAGCCTCAGTCTGTCCATCTGTAAAATAGAGCCACTACCAGCTGTAACTGACTGTCACAAGGGCAGAATGGCCAAGCACGAACTCTCTTAGTGGCCAAGGCAGGACTCATGCATCTTTGTTATCCACCATCCCCAACCTAGGGTACAGGGCAGTGCTTGGTATGCAGCAGGTGAGGAGTTCTAGGTCCAAACTCAACTCATATTTGTCAAGCAGACAGATGAGTATGAATGTATCGGTGCTTAGAATAAGTCTCTACTCTTACGTGGTGGGTAGAGATATGGTATGTAGCAGGTACTTGTGCGTGTGTCTATGTGTGTGCCTTTAAGATTTGTATTTGTATTCCCGTGCATATGTATGTGTCTTGGGAGTGACTGTCACTCCCAAGAGTTGGAAGGGGATGGGCAGAAAATCTTGCCTCAGAAGAGGCAGTTAAATGGGAGCCTTCATAGACATAGTTAAAACAAATCGAACGTTATCAATAACATGGTATCGTTAGTGAAAATGTCAATATGATAGAAGTCCACAAAGGCGGGCCAGAGAGGAAGCGTCAGGCCTCAGCAAGCAGGAAGAGTCTGCAAATAGCCCAAGCACCACAGATCCATTTCCTGTCAACCCTGGATTTTGTGAGGAGCAAAATTCAGCTCTCCCTGGCCTTCTGTGTCTCCAGACAAACGTTCCCTCTTCTGGAAGCCTCAGGACCCTGAGCTTGCCAGAGCTGAAGCCCCTGGACACACTTGGGGTAATACACTTAACCAGCCCCCACTTCCAAGCTACAGTCCCCCCTAGAAAGCAGACCCTGGAGAGGAAAGAGAGGAAGGTCCAGCCAGTGGCTGTTTGTGCAGAGACAGCGCCTCTGGATTTGCTTGCTCAGCAAAATCTGGGGCTCCTGAGCCAGCAACCTCAGAGCAGCAGTGGCTTGGCGGGCTGGGGGGGGGGGGGGCTGGGCTGGCTGATAACAGTGGGGAAGTGAGGGGGAGGGGCTCAGCCAAGCCTGCACTGGAAGAACACAAGGCCAATGGGACTGGGTCTTAAAATACTTGACAGAAAATGCTGGGGACTGTCCCTTTCTCTTGAACTCAAGATCCTGAGAAGTTCACCAAAGAACCTCTGAGCCTCAGTTTCCCTGTGAGTAACTCAAAGAGAGTGAGATCTCAAAGACTATAAGCACTGAGCCCACTGCCAACTGCTTTAACATGACCCTGGCCACTGCCCAGCCCAGCCTTTTCTCTGCTCTGGAACAGGCCCAACATGTGGCCTTGAGGCTCCTGGAACTGGGCCCTGCTTGGCAAGGACTTAGCCTCACTGAACATAAGGTAAGGGCAGAGATTCACCATTCCACCAGTGTGTGAGGCAAACAGATTTCTCCAATACCATTCATGGGGGAAGAGGCTTGTTGGCACAGGGCCCTTGAGGTCTGAGCCCCCTAACAGTGCTGTGGCAGCTGTATGGAATGAGAACTCTGCCCTGGGATTTGCAGTTTGCTTAGAATGACTGGACAAGGAGCCTCAGGGGTTCTCCTGCCTCTGTTTTCCCAGGACCATGATTATGAGAGTGTGTGCCACCACACCTGGCTCAAGCCCAGGTTCTCATGTTTGCAGAGCAGACCAAGCCAGCTCCTGGCTGTGTGCGTGTGCGTGTGTGTGTATTTGTATTCACCTGCATGTATATGTATGTGTCTATTCATGTATGTCATATGTGTTGGTACTCACAGGGGCCAGAAGAAAGCATCAGATCCCCTGGAACTAGAGTAACAAGCAGCCATGAGATCCCTCATTTGGGTTCTGGGAACTTGGGTCCTCTATTAGAACTTGTTGGGGACTGGCCTGGTGCTTTATTTAGACAGAAAAGGGGAATTGTTAGGGTTGGCCTGGTGCTATGTATTCTAATGTTAATTACTGGCGCCCAAGATCTTGTCCCTGCTCAGAAGAGCACATTCTCACTTAAACCTATCCTTGTTTTGTAAACATGCCTAAGATATTTAACTGATTGGTTGATTAAAGGCCTTTACCTGGGCAGGGCAGAATGGGGCAGACTTTTGAGGACAAGAGAATCACAGCAGACAGATGGGAAGAGAGGAAGGAGAAGGATGCCATGATGGGTTAGCATGGAGAAGAAACCACATAGGTCAAGAGGAAAGACTCGAATAACGATGAGAAAAGGCCCAGATGAAAAATACAAGCAAGTACCATGGAATTATGTATGGAAAGTACACCAGATGAGGAGGATTAAGGTGGATGGCATTGGATGGGGGCTGGGAGACAGCAAGGTGTCTTATTATTGTTGGGATCAGTAAGCAGGCACTTCTACAGGCAGCCCCAAGGGACCTGACAGACCAGTTATCAGGCATTTGTGAAGACACCCAGACCACCTGGAACTAACTGCGCATGCCCTGGGTCACCCTATAAGAGAACTGGAGCCCTCCTTTCCTCTCTTCCTTACTCTCTTACTCTCTCTCTCTCTCTCTCTCTCTCTCTTCTGTCTTGTCTCTCTGCGACCCCTTTCTCCCCCTTCCCCTAATAAACCTCCCACGTGGAACCGATCTTGTGGTGTGATTTGTGAACCCGCGTGTAACCTCCACAGGTGCACAGGTGCATGTTTCCTAACAATTATTGAGTCAGCTTAGGTGAAATATCTGCCCTGCCCAAGATAAATAAGGCAATTATAAAATCTAACAGGTGTCTGTGTCTTATTATTTGTGATAGCGGGTTAGATAATACCGCCATTATAATCTTATGGCTAATAATAAACATTATATAGCCCGACGCTTTTTTAAAATTTACAAATGCTCTTAATGATTGAGCTCTATCTCTCCAGTCCCAGACTGGAGTTTTAAATACTCTTTACACAGTAACTGTAGTCTTTCCTCCATACTAGAGATAGGGATGCAAGCTCAGAGAGGAGGGGACTTCCATGGCGGTCCCACAGCTGGCCAGGGGTAGTGTGGAGACAGGCAGCCAGTCTTCAGAAGAGCTCCCAGCATCTAGCCAAGTGGTCTGGTATGGGGTGAGCATTACAATCAGCACAGAAGCTTCATGAGCAAAGGTTTCTGGAACTAGGGGAACTCAGTAGGCTTTTTATGAGTTAGAGCAGGGAAGCCTTACCCAGTCCCAGCTCAAATTGGCTAAGCCACAGAAAACACCCTGTCTAGAGTGATGGCCTAGGGAGAGAATAAGGAGGAAACTGTGACCAAGATCATGGCCAGGCTTTGCCCTGGGATTCCTGGAATCTGCTTTCCCCATAGATTCATAAAGAAACCATCAGGCAGAGGGATGCTATCAAAATCAAACAGGAAGTCACTTGTTACATAGTGCCAGATGAATAGGTATCAGTCCTAACCAGGCGGAGATGCCCAAAATGCCTGTCCTGATTCTGGGTCCTGAAGCTGAACCTACAGGCACTCCCATCCTGGCAAGGGATGGCAGAGGTGGAAGGGGAAGAAGGACATAGTGTGAACGTGGCAGGGACTCCAGTCTGCAGATCCTCTTCCCTCTCACTTCCCAGCTTCAAGGCCAGTTCTGGTGATCCATAAAGTTCAGAGAAAGGAGGAAACTGAGCCAGGCTCTCTGACCCTCCACAGACTCCAGCCTCAAAACCTGCGTGTGAGGCCTCTGGTAGGCAGGGGACTCACAATCCTTGCACCTCCTCAGTCCAGGCTCTGGGGAAATAATAGTCTCTTGTGAGGAGTATACTATAGGATGGGAATCAATCTTCTAGGGCTGAGAGATACTAAAAGTCAAGGTTGGACACATATGGGGTGGTCAGCATCCCCCAGCTCAAAGCTGGCTTAGGAGCCTAGGGCCCCCACATACAGGAAGTGCTCTCCTGGGTCACTTCCCCAGGAAACACAGTGCAGTGGCTACAATCTTCAGTCCACCATGCCTGTCCTGCAGAGGCAGCAGAAACTTTTGTCCCTACCCTCAAAGCATAACTGAAGGAGGAGTCCTGAAATCTGGCCTGTCACTCAGACACTCAAAAACCCTTGGGTCAGGAATTCCTGGTCAGAGCTAAATAGGATCCCTCTCAGCCCTCTGAGAGGGCTTCTACCTCTCCTAGCCTGGACAAACTGGCCTGCTCTGGGCTCCTCAGCAAATGGGCATGGCCCTCTGCAGCTATTTCTACAATTAAGAATCTTTTCTCTTTTTCAGGCCACAATGGTTCACTAAATAAACAGCAGAGGGGGCCCTGAGCACAGCTCTGGGACAGGAGAAGGGCGGGGCTGGGAGGGTACATCCCATGCCTGGAACTCTCAGGAGGGCACTGACACGGTTCAGGAGCTAGATTCAGACTTATTCAGGAGACTAAGAATGACAGACATATGAGACCCAGGCGGCAACAAGGTGCCAGGAAAAGCCCAGACCAACAGGTCCACAGGGTTGGTTTCCAGGTTCCCGGTTCAGGTTCAGCCCAGCCCACCACTTCAAGCACCGTGGATGTCATGACAGTACTCTGGTGAGATTCGTCGGTCTAACTTTAATGACAAAGCACCCAGGAATGACACAGGGTTGGTGGAGTGGCTGGGACCACACAGCAAGGTGGTAGGATGGGGACTGAGCCCGGACTGCAGGCACAGCACAAACAGCATGTGACTCGCCCCCAGGAGCGGGAAAGAATGGAGGTTTCAGAGAAGTGAGGCAGGATGCAGATGGGGTTTGAGGAAGTTGGAGGCAGTAAGGGAGGAGTGCTGAAGGGTGATGCCAAGGGCTTCCTTGCCTGCCTGGCAGGACTGAGCTGAGAGGGGACACACAGACAAAGCACTGTAGGGGAAACCATGGGCATGGGCAGGGGTAGAGCAGGAGTCGGGTAGGAAGGCAGGTAAAATATGCAGTATAGTAATTGATTAACTAAGCTAATTTAAAACCAAGGGAAAGGTGAATGAGAATAGTGGAATGGGAATGAGGAAGTGGGAAGGGGTCTTCAGGGAAGCGAAAGGGGGTGGCTCAGGCTTTTGGGAAGTACAGGGTGCTGTGGGTAGCTAAAGGGAAAAGGCAGGACAGTGACAGCTGTTGGGAGGTACCAGTGGGAACAGCCAGCACCCAAGCCTGGGCTTGGGGTGGCAGAGATACATCTTGTGTCTCTGGTGGCAGAGTCTGGAGTCCAGTCAGAATCCAATGAGCCAAGGCAAGGAAGCACAAGGAACAGGCAAAAGACAGAATGGGCCTAGGCCACCGATGGAGGGGAGTGGGGCAGAGGCAGGGGATGTTGCAGGAACAGCAGCAGGCCCTAGAGGGAGATCAAGAGACTAAGTAGATGGCCCGGCCAGATTCTCCATGCCACTGCCCCCAAGGCCAGGCCAGGAGAGGATTCAACCCCATCTCTCCACCAAGAAAAGAACCAGGCCAGGCCTAGATGAGAGAGTTTCAGGTTCTGCTGGTACAGGCTTCTGAGGTCTCCCTGTATATATAGTCCAAGATTTCACACACACACATACACACTCTCAAACTCTCAAAATAACATCCTCACTCCATCATCTAGACTCGGCTTGGCCCCCAGGACCACAGGCCTATGGAACTACGGGAAATAGAGGAAGGGAAGCCCAGTCTGGGATGTGTGGTGAAGAACATGGAGTCCCTAAAAGTGAGGTTAGACACACACACACACACACACACACACACACACACACACACACACACGACATCTGACATGTAACATGTGTGTGTAGTGAGTGCCACATCCCGATCCTCCCATAGGTGCAAGAAGATTCCAGGAGCCACCATGGCGTCCCCTTTCCCCTCCTATTTCACTTTGTAGCCTCCCTTCCTGGTTTCCCAAGGGTTACTGAGTGTACATCCAGTTCCGAGGCCTGGCAGGGCAGAGCTCTACCGAGGGTCTGGTCTGATCCTAGACACAAAAGTGCTGGGTAAGGAGAAGCAGGCAAGACAGTTCCATCTGCTGAAGGGCCAGGGAGTGGGGGGAATGGGGAGACCATCTGCCTGATCCTAGGGCTCTCAGTCCCCTGTGACTTAGGTTTCACGGCAGGAGCTCTTAGTGCAGTGAAGGCCCGGAACAGTTAAGTGACTCGCCCAAGACTGCAGAGCCTAGACATCTCCAACTGGGGAACTGCCTAGTCACTGGCTTGGGGCAAAGGCATGGCCCTTAACACCTGGAAGGCTGGGTGATCGTAACAACTTAACTTTTTTCTTGGCCTTCCCTAGAGATATGTATGGTTCCTCCCATCCAACAAGTGGGGAAACTGAGACCAGCAGGTCACACCAAAGTTATGTGGCTGCTCAATGGGACAGAACCAGTGCAGAACCCAGATTCAAACTCTCAAAATAACATCCTCACTCCATCATCTAGACTGGGCTTGGCCCCCAGGACCACAGGCCTATGGAACTACAGGAAATAGAGGAAGGGAAGCCTAGTCTGGGATGTGTGGTGAAGAACATGGAGTCCCTAAAAGTGAGGTTAGACAGCTAGGCATAGTGGTGCAGCACCCAGGAGACTAAGGCAAGAGAATCAAGAATTCTAGGCGAGGGCCAGTGAGATGGCTAAGTGAGGAAAGGGGCTTGCTGGATAACCTTGAGGGCCTGTTTGATCCCTAGAACCCACATAAAAATCGAAAGAAGCTGGGCGTTGTGGTTCACACCTATAGTCCCAGCACCCTGGGAGGCAGAGGCAGGCAGGTCTCTGCGAGACCCTGGTCTACAGAGTGAGTCCAAGACAGTGAGTACAAGTCTTGTAGTTCAAGGCTACACAGAGAAACCCTGTCTCAAAAAAACAACAAACAAAAACAAAAAACTCAACAAAGCTATCCTCTTCCTTCAACATGTATTTGGAAACACAAGTGCTCCCTTACTCATCTTACAAACACACACACACACTCCACACAAATAAAAATTTATTTAAAAAGAGTTCCAGGGCCAGGCATGGTGACACACGCCTTTAGTCCCAACACTGGAGAGGCAGAGGTAGGTAGATTGCTGTGAGATCAAAACCAGCCTGGTCTACAAAGTGAGTCCAGGACAGCCAAGGTTACACAGAGAATCCCTGACTCTAAATAAATAAATAAATAGATAGATAGATAGATAGATAGATAGATAGATAGATAGATAAATAGATAGATAGTTCCAGGTTAGCCTAGTCTATATGGCAAGAACCTGTGTCCAAAAAGTAAAGCCAAACAAAATGGGACTAAGGCTGAAGATACAGCTCAGTTGCTGGAGTACTTGCCCAGCACACACAAAGCTCTGGATTCCATCCCAGCACTGCATAAACCAGACACTGTGGCACACGCCTGAAATCCCACTACTTCGAAAATGAAGAGACAGGTCATCCGTCTCTTCTTGGGAATCCTAAGGATTTTATTCCTGGCTCCTACAGGGTCCAGTCACTTCTGCTCATCCCCTTTTAGGACCCTGCCATAAACACCATAGCTCAGTTCATCTTTCAGCAGAAAGTCAACCCCTAGAAACCTAGTGGAGTGCTCCATGGTCCCTACGTCCTCAGTGCAGTCTAGAAGCTCAAACTCTGATTCCTTTGGCCAAGCGCTTCAGAGCTGGCTCAGTGGTTAAGAGTGCTTTCTGCATAAGCATGAGGACCTGGGTTCAGATCCCAGAGTGGCCACATACACCTGCAAGCTCAGTACTGTGAGGGGACATGGGAGCATGAGAATCACTGGGGGTATTGGCACACTAACTTAATTAAACAACAAGCTCCAGGGTTCCAGTAAGAGAGACCCTGTCTCAAGGGAATACAGTGGAGAGAAACGGAACAACACACTCACACTCTCAGTGTTCAAGCTGTCCCCATCTCCAGAGAAAGGGAGCGGCACCCTGAGGGTCATGCAGAAATTGCATCAGTCCACTCAGCATAAAGGCTCACAACTGCCTTTAGAACAGGTTGCTCCTCAAATACACAACCCTAAGGATATGCATTCCCAAAGAGCATTGCTTCAACCTCTTCGGGCACCAGGAACCCACCCAAAAACACTTCGCAGGCTTAGCTAGACTCTTTCCCTGGAGCAAAATTCCAACAAACACAGGCTGGCTTACGCTCCATCTAAAAGATCCAAGCCTGTCCACACCTCACGGGAGCCCAGGTTTGGTGCCCTAGTTGGGGTTGGAGCCCCATTTCTTCCTAGTGCTTCTGCCCAAACTCAGCTGGGATCCATGAGAGTAAATAGATCTCACCTGTTCCCCTCCCCCAGGGGCTTTCCTCCTTCCTATTCTGGAACGGTCTTTAGAAGGAACACTCCCCAAGACCTAGTCTTTGCTGCCCAGGGAGGAAAAGGCATTTGCTAAATTCAAGAAAGGACTTCAACCTCTGTGAACACAGCGCAGGGTCTCCTATTAGATTGGCCAAGAACAAGAGTCAGCCTTAAGAACCAATGGCCCTAACAGATGGAAGTGGGGGTGAGGGGTGGAAAAGACCACAGAGAACTCATGGTCTGTACTATGCCCCTCCAGACTGAGGGAAAGTACCACCCACCTCATATCTGGAACCAAAAGGTTCCAGTCACCTGGCCAGGGACCTTGGAGAGACAGATCTAGCTTTCTCAATTGCACTGCTCCCTCAGAGTTCATGGCTGTCCCCTCCTTCAAATGTGTGGCCCAGATTTACCATCACTCATCTCACCACCACCACTTTTTCTCATGCGCGCCACTGGAGCTAGGAGGAGTTGGCGCTGCCACCCTTCCCACCCTGGGGCAACTCAGATCGGTCCCGCCAAGGTCCTTTCAGCTCCCAGGCTGCAGCGTGTTCTCAAGCTACAAAGCACCCCTCCACTGCAGGCAGGGCTGAGTACAGATCATCTCCCAAATGGGGTACAAACAACAGAGATGAACCCCCCTGTTCTCCCACCCCAGGAGGCCAGCGCGGCCCAGACCGAGCGCAGAGCCACTGGCGTGCGGGCACCTACCCGCTCCACATCCCGGCGCCTCCACTCTCTGCGTTGCCGCAGCCGGGTCCACGCGCGCCGCCAACTCTGCCAGGACCCCAGAGCTGCGCTGGCGCCTGTCAATCGCTCCACCGCCAGTCTGTCCCGCTGGCCGCCTAGGGTTTGCGGCTCCGCCCCACCCCAGCCCTTCCCCTGCCCTGGGCGGGTCACGTGCCAGAGAGGCGGGCCCCAGGCCACGTGCCCGGCCCCGCCCCTCTGCTGGCCCAGCCCTGTCCCTCTAGCTGCAGGGGACAGTGATCCCGCGAAGCGAGGGCAGGCTGGTCCTTTCATCTCATAGCCAGAGCTGGTCTTTGCCTTTTTCAGTTTCTGCCTTGAACTTTTGGGCCACCCTTGCTTGAGAACCTACAGTGGGTCTCGGGGGTCTCAGCTCTGATTCACGCGCAGATTGTCATTTAAAGCGGGCAAACACCTCCTGCACACCCACAGACTTTTAGCCCTGTTACAGGTCCTGGAGCTCGCAGATCTACACCAGTACCTGAATGACACAGGGCTTCTGGGAAGGGGGAGGGGCGGTTAACCCAAGAGAGCGCTACTTTGGCCCAATCTTAACGCCTCTGCTTCCAGCCTTCCCCTCTCCCTCCCCCTACATATGAACACTGCTTCTCCCAGCTTTGCCAGTCATCCTAAACTCTGGAGACCACTGGGCCAAACCTCACAAGCACCTGTCTGTCCCAGGTACGCAAAAGATCTGTGAAAAGCTTGGGTCCCTGGCCACTGGTCACCTGTCCCTCAGTTCTTCCGCCCTTCTTTTATCCTGACCCTGACCACTGACCTAAGTGAAATTCAGCCTCAGATCAAATCCAATGAGTAGGACCCATAGCCAACCCCTTCTTGAGTGCTGCTAGGGCCGTAGGCAGGCTCTGCATCCCTCTCTGGGCTTTTGAGAATACTTCTCACTCAGCCATCCACACAAACAGGCATTCAGCTGCCCCTTCTGAACTGTCTAAGGACCATGCAAAAGCAGGAGATAGTCCAGGCTAGAGCCCCTCCCTACCCCCCCCCAGCCCCTTCCTGTCAGTGGGGGTGTCATGTATTGCCTAGGTTGGTCTCTAGATTCTGGGCTGACCTCCTTCCTCAATCTCCCCAGTGACTGTGACAACAGCTGTGTGCTTATGAAACTCCAGTCTGGTAGATGATGGGGGCGGGGAGGAGCCTGCTTTCCAGGTCCTCTACTGCCAAAGCCTCCACTAGCCTAGGACCCATCTTCACCAACGAATAGTGTCTCCTTTTGAAACAGGAAAGAGAGCTGGGTGCAGTGGCACATGCCTTTAATCCCCACACCTGGGAGGCAGAGACAATGGGATCTCTGAGTTTGAGGCCAGCCTGGTCTACACAGAGTTCCAGGATAGCTAGGGCTACAAAAAGAAACTCTGTCAAACAAAACAAAACAAAACAAACAAACAAAGCCAGGAAAGAATTAGGCTGGAGAGATGGCTTAGGCAGTAAGGACAGTAATTGCTCGTTGCATGAGGACCCAAATTTGGTTCCCAGCACCCAAATCAGGCAATTCACAACTTCATTTGGCTCTAGCTGCAGGGTATCCTCTGCTCTCTTCTGGCCCCTGTGGGTATCTGCATGAGTGTGCACAAACTCACTCATGGATATACACACATAATAAGCATTTAAAAAATAGAGAAGAATGCTCCTTTCCAGCTTATAGGAACAAAGACTTGGTGACTGGAATCTATGTCTTTTCTCCACAGCATCGTCTGCCATGGAGAACCTGAACATCTCTCTATAGCATCCTTTCTACCTTGATAGAATCTCTCAGCTCAGGTCTCCTGTGTCCTTCCCTCCCTCTACAGTCGTTACTTACCAGGCTATGGTTTCTCCTGGGAAAGGACCAACCCCTTCTTGGAGCTATGTTCCTCCACCCAGCCCGGCCCAGTTTATGGTCTGGGCCAAAGAAGATGTCAACATATTTTTATTGACTTAAACCCTTCACCATCTAAGCCTAGTGCTGTTTTCCTGCTCCTTGTTCTGGTCACTATCTAGGGGAAGGAAGAAAAGACAACACACAAAGAGTCCAGGACAGGGGCCCTTGCTTTCCAAGTCTTTAAAAGGAAGGGCAAAGATAAACTATGGCAGTGGGATTAGTGAGAGATAAAGGTCTACAGTGCCAGAGGAAGAGGCCTCATCCTGGGAGCCCTTGAGGGAGGCCTCAGAGGACAAGCGCGTGGTCACCACCTAAAGAACACTGACATGCAATCACTAACCAAAAAACCTTGTCATCTATGCACCTCGACTCTATGAACTCCCAAGCCACACAGCTTCCTCTCAGCAGCACACGGACCCCTGCTGTGTCCCCGGAAAAGGACGGACGCAGAGAAAACTTAAGAAACCTGCTTTATGTTACACGAACAGGAGGGGAGAGATGGAATCTCTTCCCAGCAGTGTCTCCAGGGCACAACCCAGCACTACTGGTTTTGCTGGAAGCTGTGCTGGGTAGAGCCAGCCCTCTGAAGGTTACTGAACACCTACCAGGTGCCTGGCCCAGCTGATGGTGAACACCTACCAGGTGCCTGCCCCGAAGCCAGAGGGGAGGGAAAAATTAAAGATGTATCTATAGGCACAAAACACCAAAAGCCTCATCTTTCCTCCTCTCACACCACCACCTTCTGTCCACTTTCCCCTCCAAAGCTTGTTACGTTCAGCCACAGACCCTAGGCTGAGGCAGAAGGCAGATGGGTCTTGGGAGTCAGTATGGATGAATCAGTCGCAGACTGTTTCTAGCTGTGACTTAGGATAAGTGTCTGACCCTCTCTGAGCTTCAGTTTCCACCTTACTCTAACCTTCAGGTCGGACCAGACAACCAAGGCTCCTCTCACTGTGCCCACCCTGAAGGAAGCTCCTGAAAGTCTTCCCAATTCAAAATAGCTCACTGTTCAAAGCCAGCTTCTGACCCCCAAGTCCCTGCAGAGTGGCAAGACCCATCCGCCATCTCCAAGACCTCAGCTCACCTGTTTGCACCCCAGGGCTCCTCTCTAAGGTTTCTCTCAGGTACAGGACCCAAACCTGATGGGGCATAGCGGACAGTGCCTGAGCTCATAGCCAAGAACACTGGGCATGACCCTCGGGCAGGGCACTGCCTAGGCTTCTCAGAAGCTTCCATGCCTGGGGGTCAGGCTGAGGTCTCTTTAGAGTCCACCAGGAGAGTAAGCGGCAAAGCCTGCCTCCTCTCCAGGCAAAGCCTCACACTAACCTTTGCTATCTCTCATGAGCAGCAGCCCAGTGGCCGGGCGGGGCCTCCCAGACAGGCTTCTATCTTCTTAAACCCTTAATTATTAACTCCTGAAGCTCAGCGGGCAGCAGAAGACTTGGGCCTTTCCACAACCTTTCCTGGGTTGTGGGCTGTGAGCCGGACAAGACTGTATACCTGAGAGCAGGAGGGAGGCTACCCCCACATGCTAAGGCCCTAGACTTCAGTAAGATCCCTTAAGACGGTCCATCTCCTGTCCTCTAAAGCTGAAACACTGGGCAGAGCCTGTCCAGCCTGGTTCTACGATGAACTGGTTGGCTATTTGACTTTGGACAGGTACTCAGTAGCCAGCTCCTTAAACCCATTAACTACCATCACCAAAGAGCAATTCAACACAGCTTCAGCTGCTCCGTGCCTCAATTTCCCCAGCCATAAAGTGGATTGTGAGCCTCTGAAGCACATCTGGCCAGCTGCTGTTACCCAGATACACCTCAAACTTCTTTCTAAACATTGTTCCCCATAGTCTTTTTTCTCTTTTATTCTGAGCAGGGTGGTGGCCATGTTGGGGACTGAAGCCAGAGCTTTGTGAATACTGAGCCACCACACACCCCAATCCTCATTCTTAACTTCAGCTTCCATCCCATTTTGTGCCTTTCAAAAGGAAAAGATTTCCTCCTTGGCTGTGTGACCTTGGACAAGACACTTAACTTCTCTGGAACTCAGCCCTTCGTCCTATAAAACGGGAACTGTTCTCTGCTTTGGAAGACAGCACCATTCTTGGAGGGTCTGTCTGCCCTAGTGTCACAGGAGCATCTCCTAAACTCCCTCTTCTCTACTTTCACTGTTGTTTCTGGTCTGCCTTTGGGTCCTTCTGAGCCCCTCCCCACCAGCGCCACACCCCACCGGGCCAGCGGATAACAGTATCTCTGCTGAGCTCTGGGCTGTGAAGCCTGTGTAGCCTAATGCAAGCCAGATGCTGTCAGAGGGTTTCCTGGCTGTGAATTTTCCATGGCCTGCTCCCACCCCCTTCCTGTTTTTGCTCCTCGATCATCCCCCTACTAAATTCTCCAGTGCCCCCACCTTCCTCTGCAGGGCAACCAAGGCCTCACCTGGAAACCATTAGCGGAAAACAGGATGTGCAGAAAGGGGGTGCATCTCCTACCACCCTGACGCAACCCAGCCTGGATGGTGGCAAAAGGCACAGGATGGAGGGTGGGGGCCCCAGTGAGGAAACTGAGTCAGGGGTCCTGAGAACCTCACAAAGCTGCTTTCTGAGCATTTGCTTAGAAGGGTTACTCTGTCAAGACCTTTGCCAGAGCCAGTTGGGGGTCAACCCTACCCTCTTGCAAATCAGGAAACTGAGACTTGAAGAGTCATCCAGGGTCACTAACGAGGGGGCACCCGAATAGAGTTGGGAATGGGCCAGCTGGCAACAGAGCTGTTGTCTAGAGTCTCTCTGGGTATTGCTATTTTTTATTCATTCCTCCTGCCCTCCCCCTATAGCTTGAGGTTGAGCCTGGAGTCTGGTCACGAGGAGACTCCCAAGGCGAGATGTAGCTGCCCAGACCTGGCTGGGCAGGCTCTGAGGTAAGATGAATCCACATTTGCAGGAGCTTCACAGGGTGACCTTGGACAAGCAGGCCCAGGCCCGTGTAAGCAAGAGGGGACCACTTTCTCTTCCTCGTCCTATGAGCCTTTCCAGGCAGGCAGGGTTTGAACACACCCCCACCTGGTGCCTCTGACCCCTTCATTTCCATGAAAACAACACAACCTCTGGGCTTTCTACCCGGCTCCGCTGGCTGCCCCTCCCTCCGCCAGCTGTGCAGTGTTTGGACAACTGGATGGAATGTTCTGCCGCCAGAGTTCTCCCTGGATC